TGTCAGATTGGCTGGCTGTAAATAATAGGTGGAATAAGAACAAGACCTATGAACACACTGTGGGTATATTTTTAATCCCACATTTCTCCTTTTAAATAAATAAGAAAATGTCTAACCTATAGCACAATTGTAAAGTTGAGGAGTTGTACTTCCCATCCTCTTTACTAACGTGTTTCTACTGAGCTATAAATGCTATAACTAAAAAGTTATATCTATAAAAATAAAAGCTATAACTGAAGAGTTATCTTTTTTTTGTGTGTCTTTTATTTGAGATGTGTGATATATTTGCACTTGTCCATAACAACGAGTGACATTGTCAAAGTAGCATTATAATTTCTACTGCAGACATAAATTGGATATTATTACTCAGGTACAATTCTCTGAATGTTGAAAATACATACTTGGGTTGACAGAAAGGACGCTAGATGGCTATTTGGGACCAGCTGCCTGATGCATATCTTCAAAAAATAGATTGTTAACTGAAGAATAATGAATTAAAATTCAGGTTAAAGTAATTTAAGCTATAGTCAAAAACATTATAATTTGAGTAATACCTGTAATTGGAACTTTAAGTAAAAAATTTGCTGTGATAATACAATAAGACAGTTACTTGGAATTGTAAACAACAAATACCAGGATCTCCAAGGAAGATTTCTTTCATTTGGGGAAGGAGTATTATTTTCTGTATGAATAGTAGGACAGTGCAGAGAACACAAAGTCAGACATGCCTTACAGTGTAGCCAGTCTTAAGAACTGCTGAACATGAGATCCTGCAGAGAGATGAAGCACCTGATGGGTAATCTTGAGAAATACAACAAAAGATCTTGTTGCACCACCACTCCTCCTAGGGCTGCCAAGGTAGAGAACTGACCCCTTCTTTTGCACTATTCATCTCCCATAACAACCACTTCTGCTTTATCTCATACTGATAAGCTATACAGTTTAGAAACCATCTAGGATTCACCCAAAATACCACATACTTTGCCACTACATCCAAAAGTCACAGAAGACAGAAGGAATGTATCTTACAGACAGTAATATTCACTCACAGTGAGTTCTGATATGGGAAATTAAGTGACATGTTACTAGTACCATGCAAAAAAGATTTATGTGCTGTGATATAAACGTGGATCAGGAGGTTTAATCTAGCTAAACCAATTGCGTTCAACAATGAGAAATTCAGATGTGAACAATACACTACCAGGTTATTTTATAGAGTTCTTAGTTATAATGAAGACCAAGAATATTCAAAAAGAGAAATTGGAGTGATGACACTCCATGGATGGGAGTTTTTTTCCAAAGACAGTATTCCTGTTTCTGAAATGCCAAGAAACTAGCTAAAATAAAACAAAACAAAAGCAAAACAAAACCACCTAACAAAGCAAACGAAGTTTAATTCCTGCAAATCTGTGTTGTTCCAGTCATCTGTGACTGCCACTCTTAATTCCCTTCAGTGGTGCTTGTCTAACTTTATTTCTGGATCATACTCTTGAAAACAATTTCTGTGAATTATTCAGGTACTTAGTTTACTGCAATTAAAAGTAGGATTTATTTTATGATTCTCAGCCCGGTCTTAGGCTACATTATGTTTGTCCTCTACTGTCCCTGTATGGTCAGGAAGGGTAAACACTTCCAGAGAACAATTCAGCATATTCTACAGAAACGTATTTGAGTCATTCTCTGATAGTGTTCATTTCTCTCCATTCTTGAATGAGAGAGACTAAGTAGCTGCTTTACAGTAGGTACCTAGTTTAGAACCAAATGTAATAATGTCAGACTAACAGTCCGTAATATTTACAAAATGTTGAGTCATTGTTTTAAATTTATCATTTAAACATACGTAATTTAACAGTATTTTTACCAGAGTCGTTTTAGGTGGTATTGAAAACCATTGAAGTAGAAAATAATCATAGCTAGAACTGCATAAATTAAAGTCTAAGCTGTTCACATGACATGAGAAAGGATTTAAAACAAAGCCTTTATTTATTATATTTACTAAGAGAACATTTGTCAAGCAAAGGTACCAGACTGATCAGAATATGCCTTCAGAGCCTGAAAAGAAGTTAAAATACCAAAGATTAAAAACCTACATTTTTTTAATTATGTCTACTCATATACTGGTACCATTGCACATACACACAGCCACTCTCTCTACAGCTTGTATTTGCATCTATTTTAAAAGGTCACTTAGAGAAAACTAAATTCACTAAGATTTTCGTAAAGGTTGAAAGTCATTAATTCTGTGCAAAACTGAAGCAAAATAGTGTGGTTTCTTCATCTACTGGAAGTCACCAATTTCAAAAACATTGTGCTCAATAAAAGGTCTAAACTGCAGTCCTTGTAAATCTGCATGCTATCACTGACTATGTATGGAAATGGATTACCGGGGAACACTCATGAAGCTGGCCTCTAATACTGTGAATTTTAAGGACTCGTTACTTAGACTGCACTCTGGATTCTTCAAGATACTGATGTTAATACTTACACCATTCAGATGCACAACCATGGTTAAACTTCTGATAGAAAAGACATGAGAATATTTTCTCCCGTATTTAGAACTAATATTGTTTTCATCATGACGTGGATTTTCCTTCAACCCAGGCAGAATTTTAATCTCTGTGGATTGAGCTTCCATCAGCATGTTATTTTCATTACCTGATTTTCGCTAAGTGGTAAGAAAATGGAGGCAGTGAACAGTTGAAATGCAATGACAAGTACATCTCCATATTCTGATGAGCACACTGCTCTCTTTAGTATGTTCTCTTGTGTGAAAGTATGAGAAATTATTGATTAAAGCTTGGTAGAATTACCCATAAGAATGAGAGCATGTCATTAACTGGACTGGAGATGAAATCTTGACCAGTCTGCATTTTACTTTTTCTTTTTTTCTGATCCAAAACCAAGCATAGGTTTCAAAGCAGAAAATATCGTAGCCCATCTGCTTATTGTACTTGATCTTGCAGTGGCTTCTGAAGGGATTGCTCAGACATCTGAAGCAAAATAAAACCTGTGTAGGAAATGAGGAATATAAGAGGAAATGAGGCAAAATTATCAATGCCAATTAAGGTTATCAGCAGGCAAAAAAATAAAAATAAAAAACCACAGTCTCAGGCAGAAATTAGTTAATCAAAATTATCCCTGTATAATAAACTTTTATAGAAAACAAAAAGTATTCCTGAGAGCATATGAGATTAATAGCAGAACTTCTCATTAAACAGACAGAATCTTAAACCAGTTAGTCAACCATTTTACCAAATACTTAGCAACTGTTTTTGAAAATCAAGTAAAACTTGACTAAAAAGAGGATACCATATTTTACAGTACTACCACAATGCATACAAAGTGATTGTCACTTTTGATGTTTTTACATGCAGGTGCTCAATCACAGTATTGAGAGTTCTGTTTTGCTATATCTAGATAAATACACACACGCGTACATGTACATATGAAATGACCTGTAAAAATCTAGATGCCATTTCTGCAACTTTCTCCTATGAGCATACATAAGAACAACCCATAAAAGAAGACAAGGAGCTTCCTGCACATTATAGGCTTTATCTTATAAAAAACCCAAGAAAATCTATAGCAATATTGCAATGAAAAATATATGTAAATAATAAGAGAACCATTCAAAAAGTATTCTTTTCAATTAATATCCAAGAACATCCTGTGAAAGTTGAGTTTCTACCCTAATGGGTGTCCAGAGAGGTATTTGATATAACACCATAAATCTTCCTAGAGAATGTAGGGTAAGGAGAGATGTGTCCTCATTGAGCAGGAACACAAACAACAAGAAATGACAAATGACAAAGAATTCAGCAAGCCATCACAGCAGGCAACAGTAAGTCTGATCTCATGTCAAACTTCAGCTTATGATCCCTAAGACATGCATGAACGACACAGGTAAAGTTCTTGAAAGATGACTGCCCAATTAAAAAGTAGCTTCAACACTTAAGGTTTGATTGGCACTACAGTGGATAGCTTTTTGGCATTCAGCTCCTGAAACAGAAAATCAAAACCCAGGAAAAAATAAAGAAAAGGTGATGCAACACCTTTGCAGTGAAAGAAGGAAGTTCCTACCCTGTCTCCTCCATTGTCAGAGCTTGGGCACAGGGAAATTACATCCACTTCTTTATGGATGCCTGAGACAGACTTCATGCTGGCACTTCTGAGTGCTTATTGAACCCAGTCCCAGGGTCTTCTCCTGGTGACAAGGGACAAAGTACAAGTGGTTGCACTGTCTTGAAGTCTAATCCTGTACCATGAGCCTCTTGTGCTCCTGGTGCTGCATACTCATAGAGATGTGGTGATAAACTCAGGTGAACTGCCTTGCCTCTCAGAGAAAAGCAATAGGCACATAAGTCTGTCAGCAAGTCCTAAGGCTTTGGGGGTTTTATTTTATGGATCTGGGTCTGGAAAACCTAATGCAATATTTTTTTGCTTGCTTGCCTTAGGAGATTACATACAAATACAGACAAACAAGGTGTTTTGGAGTAGGCTAGGTTAAAAACTTGCAGCCTATCTCTGTTCCACAGTAACTGCTGTCACTGTGTGGGAAAAGCTTCTGGTTTTCCTTTTTTGGAGAGCTATTTAGTGTGAGAGACTAGATGGGGTGAAGAAAAGGGGGTAAAAAGGGGGAAGAAAAGGAGGAAGAAAGGCAAGAGGCCAGCAGGAAAAGCACAAATCCTTGTCTTTAAGGAAACAATTGCTTTTGAACACACAGAAATATATGAAAAGCAGCAGTGCTGAAAATGTCTTAAGGTAAGAGTAAACAGCAAGTCAGCTACAATATTTCAAACACTATACCAGCAAGAAAGAAAACAAAAATAATAACTTTGATATGATATTAGGTGCCAACAGAGGTGCATCCATCATAGATTAGACATGTATTAAGACCTACCTAAATGGCAGAGTTGTGCTTTAGCACCATAATGCTGAGCTCTGGGCATCTCAGAGTTTACAAAATGTGGGGAATTCAGAAAAGAAAAATCCAAACTAAGATGCTGAACAATCTGGCCTTTGAGGAAGGATCCAAAGAAAGATGTAAATTTTATATATACTGGCTAGTATATGTCAATGAGGGAAATCCTTGAAAAGTGTGAATATAAAGCAGAGAGAAAAAAGACTTAAACTGATCCAAGGGGGCATAAATACAATAAAAGGAGGATTACAGGACAACATGTAATTTCCTAACCTTGAAACCTGTTCAGCTATAGACCAATCTCCTAAAGCAGTGGAAGAAAACTCATCACTCCAATTGCTTCACCTTACATTCTCTTCCTGCAATATGATAGAAAATTACTATTCCAGAAATAAAATAAATCCTATTGTTCAGTAAAAAAAATAATAATATGGTATGTACAGGACATCTAAACCAAACCTTTAAAAATGGCCTGGAAAAAATACTAAAAAATACATATCAGGGAATAATATTTTATTGGCAAAGAGAATGATAAGGTGATTGAATGGAATTACCACACTTAGAAGCCAGCTATGTTCATAATACAGAAATTCATACATAATAGTGTCTTTCACTGAAAGAAACTAAGTTAGTATGGAAATAGATATATGACTTCCAAAAACTGAGTAGCAAAACTAATTGGGACGGAGGAGATGTTTTTTTCAAATCTTACTTTGAGACCTACAGTATCAAGTGAGGAAACTCAAGTCACCATAGTGACAACAAGTTTCTATATATCACACTGAAAAACTATTTGTGCTCTTCAGGGGCAAGGTGAGGGGAAGAACCCTGGAAAATATCCATTTATCCTTTTAAATCTATCCAGGTAAGGGACTTCTTACCCTCCTAAGAGATACTGTAGTACAACCCAAGCAGTCAGAATACAAGGAAATGAGCAGAAGGTAAACCACTGTGGAGATACTAAGTGTCCTGGGTCTGGCAGTGATGGGGTTAATTCTCCCCAGGACCTAGGAGGGACACAAGTATTCCACCCCATGTGAGCCATGCCCAAGGGGTAGCCGGAGCTAGCCGGGAAGGGGAGGGGACAGGAAGTTGTGGGGAGGAGGCGGTGACCCCCGGAGGAGTAGAGCGGTCGGGGGCGTCCCGGGAGCGGTCGGCGCGCGGCGGTATCGAGCGGCGGTATCGTGATCGCGGTTGTATACCCCTCTGTTATTGTTGTTGTTATTGCTCTTTGTTCTGTTCTGTTAAAATTGCCTTTGTCTCAACCCACGAGTTTTGCCTTTTTATTCCCATTTTTCCCTCCCGGCCGCGTGGCCGTGAGGGCTCTATTGTGTGCGAGCGGCTGCACGTGGTCCTTTGTTGCCGTCTGAGGCCAAACCACGACAGTCCTTTTTGGCGCCCAACGTGGGGCACTCGGAGGGTTGAGATTACGGCAGATCCGACCAGGGCATGTTAAAAGGAATTTTGTATCTGTGTTCATTGTATTAGTTGCTGGGCACAATGTTGTTTCGTTTGTTTTCATGGCTGTGTTATGTGAACTCTTACATGCCGTATGTACTGCCCGTGATGATGTTTATCACTTCTGGGAGAGGGATCAGGGTTATAATTTTGCTGTCTTGTGCTATATCAACTTATGATATGATAGCATCTCTGTTCAGATGGTTTTGTTGGGGTGTTTATTCAGCGCTGCTTTCCTGCCCATATCTCGGGGAATTTATTGATAAACACACTGAATCTATGAGGGAAGCAGGGGGGGATATTTTCCCCAGCTCTTTCACCTCCTTTTTTGTGCTGGATATGTCAGTTTTTGAAAATTTTGAATACCCTTGGGACACGCAAACCAGTTTGGTCTTACTGCTAGGTCTCCTGAATGTGTTTCAGATTTTGTTTAAGGTTAAGCAACTATTTAAGGCTATCACCAAGAGATCTGCCCCGAGGCTGAAGGGTCACGGGTGGCATGGCATGTGGGAGAACATGGGCAGGTATCTAGAGACTTTTTCACCTCCAATGGTCTGGGATCTCACCACCGAACAATTACAGGACCCTGATAAAGTGGTAGAATATTTGAAAGGAAAATGCTGTGGCTATTCCAGAGAGGCACAGCTCACTGCATTGTGCTGGGCCTTGGCCAGTATCTACCGAGCACTGCTCAATGTTGTGCAGCATCCTCAGGGGGAGGACATGGAAACCAGGCTGACAGACACTGTGGCTGCTCCAACCCCTGCGACAGACACTGTGGCTGCTCCAACCCCTGCGACAGACACTGTGGCTGCTCCAGCCCCTGCAACCAATGCTGCGGCTGCTCCAGTCCCTGCAACCAATGCTGTGGCTGCCCCAACCCCTGCGACAGACACTGTGGCTGCTCCAACCCCTGCAACAGACACTGTGGCTGCTCCAGCCCCTGCAACCAATGCTGCGGCTGCTCCAGTCCCTGCAACCAATGCTGTGGCTGCCCCAACCCCTGCGACAGACACTGTGGCTGCTCCAACCCCTGCGACCGACACTGTGGCTGCTCCAGCCCCTGCAACCAATGCTGCGGCTGCTCCAGCCCCTGCAACCAATGCTGTGGCTGCCCCAACCCCTGCGACAGACACTGTGGCTGCTCCGACCCCTGCAACCAGTGCTGTGGCTGCTCCGACCCCTGCAACCAATGCTGTGGCTGCTCCAACCCCTGCAGTAGACACTGTGGCTGCTCCAACCCCTGCAACCAGTGCTGTGGCTGCTCCAGCCCCTGCAGCAGGTGCTGCGGCTGCCCCAACCCCAGTGGCAGTCACTGCAACTGAACCAGAAAATCAGCCTGTGCCCGTGTCAGTCGCCCCTATCCAGAAGAAGAAATGCAACAAGAAATCAGTTCGCTTAGTGAGGGATGACAATGAAGCAGGGTCATCACGAGAACAAGAGGAAGAGGCAGAATCAGAGATAATCACTCGATCCCTGTCCCTGAGTGAGCTGCGGGACATGCGGAAAGATTTCGGCCGACTTCCAGGCGAGCACATTGTCACCTGGCTGCTCCGGTGCTGGGATAACGGAGCCAGTAGCTTGGAATTGGAGGGTAGGGAGGCCAGGCAGCTGGGATCTCTGTCTAGAGAGGCGGGCATTGACAAGGCAATTGGGAAGAAGACACAGGTCCTCAGCCTCTGGAGGCGACTCCTATCAGGTGTGAGGGAAAGGTACCCCTTCAGTGAAGATGTTATATGCCATCCGAGCAAGTGGACCACCATGGAGAGAGGTATCCAGTACCTGAGAGAACTAGCCGTGCGGGAGATGATTTATTGTGACCTGGACAATGCACAGTCACCCACAGATCCTGATGAGGTCCAGTGCACAAGGCCCATGTGGCGGAAGTTTGTACGGAGCGCCCCATCGTCATATGCCAACTCATTGGCAGTGATGGAATGGAGAGGCGAAGAGGGACCAACGGTGGATGAGGTGGCTGCCCGACTTCGGCAATATGAAGAAAGTCTCTCTTCTCCCCTTGTCTCAGCTGTGGAGAAACTGTCCCGGAAGGTCCAGCAACTTGAAGAGAATATATCCTCCCCGCCTGTACGAGCCAGTATCTCAGCTGTTAGAAGCAGACACTTCTCCACTCAAGATAGAGAATACAGGGAGTACACACCACGAAACACCCTGTGGTTCTGCCTGCGTGACCACGGAGAGGACATGAGGAAGTGGGATGGACAACCTACTTCAGTCCTACGGGCACGGGTACAGGAACTGCAAGGAAGAACCACCACAAAAGGGGATCCCTCCAGGAAAAGTGCTGCCCCAGTTTCCAATGTGCAGTTCCCCAGACAGTATAGAAGGCCTGAACCTACTTCTGATCCCCTTGAAGGAACCTCCAAATCATTTCTGCAACAAGCAAGTAACGGATACTATGACCACTATTAGGGGGGCCCTGCCTCCGGCCAGGTGGGGGAAAGGGACAACCGGATTTATTGGACAGTGTGGATTCGATGGCCTGGCACGTCAGAGCCACAGGAGTATAGAGCTTTAGTGGACACGGGTGCACAGTGTACCATAATACCATCAAGCCATACAGGGACAGAACGCATCTGTATTTCTGGAGTGACAGGGGGATCCCAAGAGTTGACTGTACTGGAAGCTGAAGTGAGCCTAACTGGAAATGAGTGGCAAAAGCATCCCATTGTGACTGGCCCAGATGCTCCATGTATCCTTGGTATAGATTATCTCAGGAGAGGATATTTTAAGGATCCAAAAGGGTACCGGTGGGCTTTTGGCATAGCTGCATTGGAGGCGGAAGAAGTTAAACAGCTGTCCACCTTGCCTGGTCTTTCAGAGGACCCTTCTGTTGTAGGGCTGTTGAAGGTTGAAGAACAACAGGTGCCAATTGCTACCACAACAGTTCATCGGCGGCAATATCGAACTAACCGAGACTCTCTGATCCCCATCCATGAGCTGATTCGTCAACTAGAGATTCAAGGAGTGATCAGCAAGACTCACTCACCCTTTAACAGTCCCATATGGCCGGTGCGGAAATCTAATGGAGAGTGGAGGCTAACTGTGGACTATCGTGGCCTCAACGAAGTCACGCCACCGCTGAGTGCTGCCGTGCCGGACATGTTAGAACTTCAATACGAACTGGAGTCCAAGGCAGCCAAGTGGTACGCCACAATTGATATCGCCAATGCATTCTTCTCAATCCCTCTGGCAGCAGAGTGCAGGCCCCAGTTTGCTTTCACTTGGAGAGGTGTCCAGTACACCTGGAATCGATTGCCCCAGGGGTGGAAACACAGCCCCACCATTTGCCACGGACTGATCCAGACTGCACTGGAAAAGGGTGAAGCTCCAGAACATCTGCAGTACATTGACGATATTATCATATGGGGCAACACAGCAGAAGAAGTTTTTGAGAAGGGGCATAAAATAATTCAAATCCTTCTGAAAGCTGGTTTTGCTATAAGACGGGGTAAGGTCAAGGGACCTGCACAGGAGATCCAGTTTTTAGGAGTAAAATGGCAAGATGGACGCCGTCAGATCCCAACGGATGTGATCAATAAGATAGCAGCTATGTCCCCACCAACTAGTAAGAAGGAAGCACAAGCTTTCCTAGGCATTGTGGGTTTTTGGAGGATGCATATCCCAGATTACAGTCTGATTGTGAGCCCTCTGTATCAAGTTACCCGGAAGAAGAACGATTTTAAATGGGGTCCTGAGCAACGACAAGCTTTTGAACAAATTAAACAGGAAATAGTCCATGCAGTAGCCCTGGGGCCAGTCCGGGCAGGACAAGATGTTAAAAATGTGCTCTACACCGCAGCTGGGGAGAACGGCCCTACCTGGAGCCTGTGGCAGAAAGCCCCAGGGGAGACACGCGGTCGACCCCTAGGATTTTGGAGTCGGGGATACAGAGGATCCGAAGCCCGCTATACTCCAACAGAAAAGGAGATACTGGCAGCATATGAAGGGGTTCGATCTGCTTCAGAAGTGGTTGGTACAGAAGCACAGCTCCTCTTGGCACCCCGGCTGCCAGTGCTGGGTTGGATGTTCAAAGAAAGAGTCCCTACCACACATCATGCAACGGATGCTACGTGGAGTAAGTGGATTGCACTGATCACTCAGCGAACTCGAATGGGAAACCCCAGTCGCCCAGGAATTCTAGAGGTGATTATGGACTGGCCAGAAGGCAAGGATTTTGGAATGTCACCAGAGGAGGAGGTGATGCGTGCAGAAGAGGCTCCACCATATAATGAACTACCAGAAGATGAGAGGAGATATGCCCTGTTCACTGATGGGTCCTGCCGGATTGTGGGAAAGCATAGGAAGTGGAAGGCTGCTGTGTGGAGTCCTACAAGACAAGTTGCAGAAGCCACTGAAGGACAAGGTGAATCAAGCCAATTTGCAGAGGTGAAAGCAATTCAGCTGGCTTTGGACATTGCCGAGCGGGAAAAATGGCCGGTACTTTATCTCTACACCGACTCATGGATGGTGGCAAATGCTTTGTGGGGGTGGTTACAGCAGTGGAAGCAGCAGAATTGGCAGCGCAGAGGCAAACCTGTCTGGGCTGCGGAATTGTGGCAAGATATCGCTGCCCGGGTAGAGAATCTGGTTGTGAAAGTACGTCATGTAGATGCCCATGTACCCAAGAGCCGGGCCACTGAGGAACATCAGAATAACCAGCAAGTGGATCGGGCTGCCAAGATTGAAGTGGCTCAGGTGGATCTGGACTGGCAACATAAGGGCGAATTATTCTTAGCTCGATGGGCCCATGACTCTTCAGGCCATCAAGGGAGAGATGCTACATATAGATGGGCTCGGGACCGAGGGGTGGATTTGACCATGGACATTATTGCACAGGTCATCCATGAATGTGAGACATGCGCTGCAATCAAGCAAGCCAAGCGATTAAAGCCCCTTTGGTATGGAGGACGATGGCTGAAATACAAATATGGGGAGGCCTGGCAGATTGATTATATTACGCTTCCACAGACCCGTCAAGGCAAGCGCTATGTGCTCACAATGGTGGAAGCAACCACTGGATGGCTGGAAACATACCCTGTGCCCCATGCCACTGCCCGGAATACCATCCTGGGCCTCGAAAAGCAAGTTCTGTGGCGACATGGCACCCCAGAGAGAATTGAGTCGGACAATGGGACTCATTTCCGAAACAGTCTCATTGACACCTGGGCCAAAGAGCATGGTATTGAGTGGGTTTACCACATTCCCTATCATGCACCAGCCTCTGGGAAGGTAGAACGGTACAATGGACTGTTAAAAACTGCACTGAGAGCAATGGGTGGTGGGACTTTTAAAAATTGGGATACACATTTAGCAAAGGCTACCTGGTTAGTTAACACCAGGGGATCTAGCAACCGAGCTGGCCCTGCCCAGTCTAAACCCCCACGTACTGTGGAGGGAGACAGAGTCCCCGTAGTGCACATGAAGAATATGTTGGGGAAGACAGTCTGGGTCAGTCCTGCCTCAGGCAAAGGCAAACCTGTCCGTGGGGTTGCCTTTGCTCAAGGACCCGGATGCACTTGGTGGGTGATGCGGAAGGATGGGGAAGTGCAGTGTGTACCACACGGGAACCTGATTTTGGGCGAGAATAGCCAATGAATGAAACTGTATGATGTTAATTGCTAAATGACCCTGCCATCTCACTTTGGTGACTGCTATTGGTTGTACTATAGTAGGAATCACCCAACTAATGACTGATGGACTCTGATGAGAAATCAAGTACGGTGCAGCCTTGAAGAGACCAGAACTGACCTCAGCAGCTGGCGCCCAGCAATTTCAATGAGACCAACGTCTTCAACCCATGGACATGAGCTACACCGGATACATCAGCCACAAGGCCCAGAGAAAAGATACAACATGCAACAGTCCAGCCCCAACATACACCATCTTGCATGCCCTGAGAGACTGTTCTAACAGATGGAGGTTGAAGTCATGGGTTAAATGAACTCAACAGACATTTTAGAGCGATGGCCCATAGACTAAGGACATTATACCTATATGTGTATATATATATATATGTCAGGAGAAACTGACAGTATACAACTGGAAACTGTAGGATCTGGGCATGGCATGAAATGGTATGGAATAAGGGGTGGATGATGTCCTGGGTCTGGCAGTGATGGGGTTAATTCTCCCCAGGACCTAGGAGGGACACAAGTATTCCATCCCATGTGAGCCATGCCCAAGGGGTAGCCGGAGCTAGCCGGGAAGGGGAGGGGACAGGAAGTTGGGGAGAGGAGGCGGTGACCCCCGGAGGAGTAGAGCGGTCGGGGGCGTCCCGGGAGCGGTCGGCGCGCGGCGGTATCGAGCGGCGGTATCGTGATCGCGGTTGTATACCCCTCTGTTATTGTTGTTGTTATTGCTCTTTGTTCTGTTCTGTTAAAATTGCCTTTGTCTCAACCCACGAGTTTTGCCTTTTTATTCCCATTTTTCCCTCCCGGCCGCGTGGCCGTGAGGGCTCTATTGTGTGCGAGCGGCTGCACGTGGTCCTTTGTTGCCGTCTGAGGCCAAACCACGACACTAAGAGCAGTTGCAATCAGTCACGCTCCACTCCATACATGGCATGCGTGTGAACACAGTCTAATATAATAACGCTGTTTGATGAAAGAGATAAATGAGACAGAACAAACAAAAATACAATTTTTGAAAAGGCAGCTTCCTTTAGCAGCAGCAGCTTGTTAGCTTGTTCTCTCTCTCTCAAAGGAAAATCTCTACCATCTACCTCTTTCAACTTTTTTTTTTTTTTTTTTGGTATTTTTCTGATATTTGCATCAAGTAAAGTTTCAAACTGAAATGAAACCTGTTCTACACTAGCCCACATGACTACAGAGACTTGGTGAAGTATTTTCTCATTTAACAACAATGGGCAGCACTAGCCAATACCCCATGGTCCTCTGTCCATAAGGGCCCCTGAGGCAAGAACTGCTTCTGGTTTTGAATGTGGAGGAGTTGCAGTGGATTATTGACTCAATTTAAGCACAAAAGATATGTTAACAGAACTGGGTTCATGAAAGGAACTTGAAATTAATTGAGATTACACCACCCAAAAAAAGAGGTGATAACAGGCTTTCTTGGATTTAATGGCTACATAACTAACTGCTGCTAAAGAATTTGAATGCTCTGAAACAGGCTTGAATAGAAAAGGCTGAAAAATTTCTTCTGTGTAAAAAAATACTTTGTGCAACATGACCCAAACAGTATGACATGTTAAAGCACATGGCTGCATAGAAACAGAAAGAACATATCAGGACAGAAAATAAAGTAAATATTTAACAGAAAGCTTATTGTTCACGTTGTTTCCAAGGCTAAGATGAAACTTTGGCAAATGTCCTAGTTTTACTGACTACATTGGCCTTGTGGCAAGTACAGAATAAGAGATTCTGTTTAAGAACTTTATAAGCAGGTATTAATATGTAAAATTAGTCCTTTATGTTATTTCTTCTTTCGGTACCTTCTTTCTTCCTCCTTTGTGAACTTACTGAGCAAAGACATTGAAGAATGAAGCCCAGAAACTGTACCGTACAGGCAGATAAAGGGTTATAAACAGCAAATCAAACAAACAAACCAGCCTGGTGCCAAAAGGAAGCAGTACAGAAAAATAATTTGTGTATATCTGCTTCACAATCCCCAGTGTAATTTGGGGCAAATGCAATGTAATTTGAAATAAAACGTCTTTCTTTGCAATGAATGACAAACTAGGGATTACATGAACTTGGCTACTCCATATTTAATGTGAGCATACATAGATATAAATAAAGTGCATTTACACATATAAAATTCCAAAGCAGTACATCTCCTTTAAAAATGTGTGCTTATCCCCTTCTCTCACTGCTATATTTTAATCAGATTGACCCACAGCATATAATCAGACAGATTCCATTAGGAAACATTTAAGATCTTATCCATTTCATCCAGAACCTAAACTAAGTTCTTCCAATCACTTTAACTTAATTACTAACAGATGAAAGATGACTTGTCTAATACAATTCCTGTCAAAACCTTTCTAAATCAGGCATCTAATATGAGCTCTGAGGAAACAACCATGACATCCCAAATGCTGACTTTAAAAAAAACTTACTTAATTTGACCTTTTTTTATGTTCTTACATTCCTCTTAACAGTTTAGTGTTTTTCAATATTTAAACATTTTTTTATGGACAACTTTTTATTTTAAATTCACTAATTTAGGATTAAAGTTTTTCGCAATGCTATGTAATACCTTTGCTTCAGTTTGATGTTACAGGTCCTGGACTTGGGCCCATCTGCACCATCACTGATTAACATTCCTGTTCATTTTTACTCTGATTCTTGCAGTAATCTTAGTACTGAATTTAACCTAAATTCCTAATTAATAAACAAATAAATACTATTTAATAACCAGATTGAAACAGGTAACCTAACAAGAGAAAATTTGATTTCTAATACAGGTATGGGAGATGGTGGTATAAAACCCACTAGTTTGACATCCCTTTGCTATGCTTCCACATGAACAGAGATTTCAAATTAGAGGAAAAAAGGTTTTCAAAAAAATCAAGTAGTAACTGTGCCTATATCATCGACAGACTCTACAACAGTGCACTTAGGGATCCATTCCTCAGCTCACTTCGAGCACTATTCATTGTATATGCAAACATAAAGGTGTTATACAACAGTGAGTACAACCAGATGATGTTTCTATTTCTTGGCTGGCAAGGTTGGTCCTTCATGCAACCAAAGCCAGAAGTTATGACCTTTTTCCTTCTATGTTTTTTTTTTAAAGGCTAGAACTCAGATAATCCAAAAGAAGCATTTAGATTTGGAAAGCAAGAAAAACCTATACCAGGCAACAATGCGAGTGAAGAATTCTCTATACAATCAGAACTCATATATCTGAAGTATTATATGCAAAAAATACAAACCGGTTCCTACTGCAAAGTCCATAAGTGTAATCTTTCTACACTTTTCAGAAGTTACAATCATCTACATTTTACAAAATTAGGTATTTCTTTTAGACAGACATTGGTTCAAAATTTAAGTTCATGTGCACATACAACGAAAAAAACAAATCTTTCACACCTCTGCTCTTGCCCCAGTGACACTTTATGTTTGATTTCAATTCAAGATTCCTATACTTAAGGACAAAACCTGAAAAATTAAAACTTTTATATAAAATGTGTTTCTATAATACTAAATTTTCATATGAAATAATAGCAGCATAGTATGAAAAGGCAGCAAGTCCAGAAGTCCAAGTAAAGAATGCTATATCTTGCTTCCTTATAAATAGTGCTAGTCTTCTTGGAATTAGCTTCCATTTTACCTATTCAGGTTATTTATAAAACTGTTTTTGTCTGAATTGGTAACTTGTGAGTACACGAGCTTTCTGTTCATTAGCATACTCATTCAGTGCAAGTATCTCAGAACTGCCTCCGATATGAAAAAGACAATGTCACCGACATTTTCATATTTAACTGGTCCAGGTATAAGAACATAAATGAAAACAGGTCCTTAGCTTTCATATTGCATAAGCGGGTCACAGAATCTTCATGGTTGGAAGGGACCTTTGAGATCATCGAGTCCAACCACGGATGCTGCCCTTACACATGATTTTGAATTCAGTTTCCTAAAAATCAAACAGGGAGAGCTGAGCATATACTGTTATGGCTGACTTTAGGTAGGAGATAACGAAAATATGATGATTGTTTATGAAACTACCTAGATTTAGGTCCCATATTTGAGAATAAAAACCCGAGAACAAATGACCACCAACATGGTTAGCTAGAGTTAGCAATGAATCTGCACTGTTTCATGATATAACTGAGGTACTACAAAAACAGGCTTAGTGGGACAGCCTTTGCCTTTCCATTTAGCTTTAAACTCACTTATGAACCTTGTGCAATTTTGGCTCTGGTCTTGGCTATTCAAAAACTGCCATAACTTATGGCAGGGTGCAACAAAACCCTGTGGAAGTTATGACGTTGTTTAAAGAATGTAAAGGACTGGAACTGCTCTTACTACTTCCCGCTATCTTATAATTTCAGTCAGGACCATCTATTGTGTTGGTAAAGAGTAATTTTAATCAGTTTTCAAAAAATGTTTAAATAACTTTAAAGCCACACAATATTGTTAATTCATTTAACTAACAAAAAGCTAAACTGAACATTGAAAGGAAAATGTAATTAGACATTAGAATTTCAGGGAGCACCTTTTTTTTTCAGAGCTACGTCTCAAAAAGGAAGGAAATCAGAGAAGCAGAAAAAGTTCAGAGAAAGCAGACAAGGATAATTAAATGCTTACAACCGCTTTTGCATAAGGATCAACTAAGGAAATTCCAGCCTAGGAAGTCCTTGAGTCAGAAATTATTGCTGGGAAACACTAGGAGGAAATATGGTCAGATGAATCCTCCAGTCTAACCTCTTTCCCAAGAATCTGCTTTCTGTCAATGTCAGATATGGGATACTGAGCTGAATGGACCTTTTCCATCATGAAGTATTCCTGCATTTGTAAGACCAATAAATGTAACCCAGAAAGAAAATGTACAAAAGCAAGCAAGTTCTCTTTTGTCACCTTTACCTATCCATGCATTAGACAGGTGCTTCCGTTTCCAGGAATGTTCATTCTTTATTGCTTTCAGTTCTGGGTGTGCCTGTCTATGTGTGCATATATATACATACACATATTTATATGTTTGTATATCATAGTGGGTTTTGACTAGTTTGGGGTTTTTCTTGACTTTTTTTTTTTTGACTGTGTATCATAGCTGGTTTTGTGTCACACAAACTTACTCTGCATCAAATAATTTTTATTAATATAAAAGAACAATATAGTAATTTATTTTAATTTCCTGAAATTCAAAGAAATTAATCTAATCTACTTTAATGACACCTACCTGGATGAATTAAATTTCAATTGGATTTTGATTAGAAGAAGATGACTAGAGGGGCTGCCACTAAAGGAGAACAAAATAGCCAGTAATACTGCCCTAGAGAACTGTGAACAAACCACTAGCCAGAGGGCAGCACTGCTCCATGGCATTTTTAGTGCCTTTCTGATTGTAGCATATTTTACCATATACACTCTGAATAATTATGTCTTTGATGCTTTTGTCCTCTTGCAAGAGCATTCTCTCACATGTCCTACCTTACAATTCCCTGAAATCCTTGCAAGTGTTAAGTCAGAGTGTATGTTTAGGGATGCTCTATGTAAAAACTAAGAGATAGTTCCCAATAAGTTAAAAATAAATACAATAAATAAAAGTTCCTGAAAATAACACATAGCTCAAATAGAAGGTTACAAAAGTGCAAGAAATTAATTTTTAGGTAGCAAAACATATATACCTTCCCTACAGTAGAATGTAACTATATGACACAGTTCTGACCTGGACATTAATGTGACAAATAAACTGCTGCTGAACCATAAATCTAATCATACTTTCATATGAACATGCCTATATGTG